TAGATCCAGTTTAATTTTGTGTATCAGTAGTCCCACACGGTCTACTATACCGGTCATAAAAATAGTCCCCTGGAGCCACACTGTTATGATGTATACCATGTTGTATTGGGTTTTCTATGAGTTCTGTATGTTTTACTCGATCGCACACTGTTTTGTAGTCGATAAAACATTGAAACATGTCTTTCACTGATCTCGGTATTTTTGTAGTAGTATTAGGAGGCCAAATAATGCCTCCCTCGTACCGTCCCATACGAAATCCAAACTTATTCTCGCTCAGATTTTTCTTGTGTTCTCTGTATATTTGTTGATGTACAATTCTAGTACAATTTTCAGAACGTGGATTATCAGACTAATTAATCTGAACTGTGAGCATATATTTACTTCCTTTCCAGTGTTTTGATTTCGGTACAAATGGTTATATTTATGATAATCCGTAACTAGAAACTTTGTTCCATATTTTTTTACGGGTATATAATTTTGAAAACCTGTATAACGTGCACATATGGTTTTTATGCGATTTATTATAACATTAAAGCTATTATTTTGACCGCCTACGAAGTTTGATAGTATTTTGTGATTGTATTAATGTGATAACGATGTAATTTTGTAACAAACACCTATCATTATTTGCAAACGAGTTACGAGCAAATACGTAATTTTAACTTAGTTTATTCTCTTTTTATTTTTTAAACATTTATACGAGATTTTAGCTACAAAATAACAAAAATGGTGCTTCTACAAAATTATAGTGCACCTTACCCAAACTAACGACCAATATAGTCGATAATAAATGACATATACTTAAAGCATTTTATTATCATTTTTACATTTGCCTTGTCTGTAATCTATTCATTGTTCAAGGCTTCAATAACAATGTTGCGGCTTTTTTCCCATTTTCTGCTTTTTTTCTCTTTTAGATCTTGATCTGTATTAATTTAACATTTATTTTCTGGCCTTTTCATTTTCTGTTTTTTCTAATCTCTCTATTTGATATATGTTTTTAATGACTCTACTCCACGTACTTCCCTTTACTTGTCACAATGATAGGATAATTTGAGCCTTTTCCACTGCTGTCTTTAACAGATTCTCACGCAGTTACACAACTTCATTATGAGTTTAAGCGACAAATTGTAAAAAGACGATCTCCATCATCTTTTTCGTTATCTTCACAATGCCCCAATTTTAAAATCTGTAAAAATCTATCTCCTTTTTCAAATAAAGTTTTTTTAAGAACTTATTTCCATACCTGCTTAGGCCAAAGTAATTTGATATAAGGATAATTAATTATTCCCATAAGAATTAATGCTGCAAAAAACTTTTGCATTTCGTGACTATCAATAGGTGTCCAATAGTATTTTTTGCCTCCACAATCTTTGCAAAATACACTGTTGAGCATACTAATTTATTTCATCTACCAAAAGCTGAAGTATTTATTGCGTTAAAAATAATTTGTATATACAATAAGGATTCCCTATGTCAACATTGTTGGTTAAAAGTTGGTAAAAAGACTGTGGGTCTTTTTCAAAATCATGTTCGACTTAATTAACCTCACTGAGAGATCTCCACTCTATAACAGGGGTGCTGTTTTTTGTTATTGGTTTACTTGTTCGTTTTCTTATTCTTCTGCTTCATCTAAATCTGTCAATAACGAAGATACACTAAATGCACTTGATAACGAAAAGTTGGGGTCATCAATAGCATCTCTATCGTCTAAAAAAACAGCTATTTTTGAAGACTTTCCTGACAATGTTGTGGTTGCAGGTATACTACGTTCGTCTTTACAATACAGATAATGAGTTCCAGATATAGCCAAAGAATTATCTTCTTCATCGCTTTGCTGTGTTTCTTCAGTACTGTGGAAACTAGGTTAACTATTTATAATTAAATTAATTTGTTCTGTGTAATCAGCTCTAGATGTTGTAGCAGGTGAAGTGATTTCATCATGGTGTTGTAGTTTCTTAAGAGGATTATCAGATTGAGTTTCATTCTCAACAATTTGATTTTCACAACTTGCTAGTTATGGTATTTTAGATGACTTATTTGAGTGGAGTGACAAAAAATGATTCATAAGAAACCAACTGAGATTACCATACTGAGATTAATAAGAAACAAACGGAAAAAAATGGCAGAATTGAAGGAATTTAATATTGTACCAGCAAACGAATGGGAAAGATTCTTGATAGAGCTGTTTAAAGGAAATGAAAATAATAATCAACACAATAACATACCTGAATTAAGACCCTAAATAAAAATCAGTTTTAAGGAAGAGTAGAAGAGGTAGAGATAGCCATAAATTCACTCAAAAAATAGAACGTCACCAGAGACGGAATAACCAACGAGCTTCTAAAACACGGAAAAGAAAGTATAACCCTAGAGACGACAAAACTTATGCAAAAACTAATATTGCACTGCAAGATACCAGACGTATGGAGAAACAGCACAATGATACCAATGTTCAAGAAAGGAGATAAAAAAGAACCCGAAAATTAAAGAGGTTTAAATCTACTGAACACCGCACTTAAGCTTACCACAAAAGTCCTAACCAACAAAATAAATAAACTAACAACTTTATTAGATGAACAACAAGGATTAAGATCCGGAAGATTCTGCGTAGACGCCATATTTGTACTAAAAAAAATCACAGAACATGCCATCGAGTATAATAAACCAGCATGTCTATGTTTTATAGACCTGACAAAGGCTTTCGATAACATCCAAGACGAAGACGTCTTACACCTACTGTATAAAAGAAACATACCAATCAATATTATACAAACCATCGAAAACATCTACTTCCATAATCGAATACAGGCAAATATAAATGGAAAACTAACACAGTGTATACCAGTACAAAGCGGAATTAGAAGGGTGACTCATTAAGCCCACTTCTCTTTAATATAATAATGGACGAAAAAATACAAGCAGTACGTAAAGGTCATTGTTACACAATGGTGAACAAATAAATCCAAATATTATGTTATGCAGACGACGCCGCATTAATTGCCGAGACAGAAGACGAGCTCCAAAGCACTTCTAACACACATCTCTAATACAACACCCAAGAAATACAATATGATAAAATTGATAAAACAAGGGTTAGATGTTTGGGAATATATTATTATAACTAGTTACGGAGATGTTGAAGAAGTATTTGAGCAGAGTGAAAGATTTAGTCTGATTTTTAATTTCAAATATCTCATTTAAAAAAACTTTTTATTAATTCTAAGGGACTTTCGGCCCTTGGTAATATAATCTTTCATTCTGCGTTTAAATATTTCAAAAATATTTATTAGTTTTCTCGGAATTCGAAAAAAATGAATTTAAAAAGCATTGGCTCGAAATTTTGCGCCTAGCTCTTAATGACACAAACTGGAAGAACAAACACCTAATACAAGACACAAAAACAAGAATCTATAAAGCAGCAATAAGACCTTTATTAACATACGTGGCGGAGACAAGACCTGACACACCTAAAACGAGACGACTATTAGAAGCAACGGAGATGAAAATACTCGAGACGAATATCAGGGAAAAGTCTGTTAAATAGGAAGAGAAGTGAAAACATAAGAAGAGCATGCAACATAGAGGACATAAGTGGATGGGTGACAGAACGAAAACAGGAGTGGAACGAACACATTAGAAGAATAGCAGAGGATAGGATAGTACGGATAGCACGAGATAAGTCACCAAATGGAGGAAGAAGTATTGACAGGCCAAGAAAAAGAATGTGCGATAATTTAAACAATTTATTAGGCTAATATTAAAGAAGGAATCGGCTTTAAAGCCTACATAAAAATGGAAGAAGGAGACAAAAAAGGACAAAATAAAGAATCATTATATTAAGGGAAGTTTAGGAGTGGCACCAATTAATGCCAAAATCAGGGAGCATAGGTTTGAGATGATATGCACAGTCCTGGTAGGAAAGGAAGGCCAAAGAAGACCTGGCGAGGTACGCTCAAGCAGGACATTTAGGTAAAGGGGACTGATAATGGTGTTCCCAAGATTAAAATTTAATGAGAAATACTATTAGGAAGCCGACCTCTCATAGCAATAAAGACAAAAAGAATGATGATGATGAATTGATGTTTGTAAATGGTTTTTATTTTCTGTCAATTAAACTATAAAATAAATGAGATTTATTAATATTTTATATTATTTTTTTTACGTTCCATATCCGGAAAATTGTTTAGTGAACTTATAGTTTATTGTCCAATAAATCATTATATTCCCAACGAGTACAATAAACAATTATTAATCCATTAAAAACATGTCGTGTTTGAATAATGTGGCAAGTTTTATTTTAGCGTCATAATATAAATTACATGAAATATTTATCAGTTACAGAGGATCACGAACAAAAACAATATAATATACTCTGTTGAAAAAAAAAACTGCAGTACTTTGGACTTCTACAATATTATATTTTGAAATCTCCGGAATAACGAAATCAAGAACTTCTTCACATGCTGTTAAAATGACTAATGTGTGGCAACTATTATGTTTACTGAAAATGAATAACATTTGTATCAGTAATAACAAATAAAATTTTTAGAATGTTTTGATGACAGAATATATAACTGTATAAAACAAAATAATAATTTTATTTGTATGATTGACATCTACGAGCAATATCGAGAACTCCAAAATTTTTCCAGAAGCATTTTGCCGAAAATTCGAAGTATACCACATACTATTTGTTATAAATCGAATGTAAAATGTACAGGGTGTTGTTTTTGCGCCACCTTAAAGAACATTCTCGTGCCAAATATGAAGACAATATTCAGTGCGGCTAAAAAATTACGAACCAAATAAGAAGTTGACAAAATAGATAAATCACCCACAATTTTTGTTATTGCTGAAGTAAAATTCTTAAAGTATGGGGTGTATGAGATCATCAAGTGTCCCTTTTTTTAGTTAACCTGTTACTTTCCTAAAGAATCACCATGTATTGCCTTCTTTAGCTGTAGAACATGTGATTTAGTAAAATCTTTTTGTTTCAGTGTCAAGAATTCTTTGTATCAGTGTGATAGCCTCGATATACCCCACGGAGACCATTTTGATTATTATAGGACATTGGTTTGTGATGACGCTGTGGTTGGCGTGTACCAGCGCTAAAAACAATTTTTGCAATCACAACTCCCTGTACGACTTTCTGTTCTACTGTATTTTAGGCGCCGTCTATATATTTACACACGTCGTTTTGGTAAGTAATATCAAAGTTCCTATTAGTAAATATAACATTACTTGTTTAAATCTATAGAACATTAATGTTCAATACATATTTAAGGAAGTTAATCCTTGTCGCGATATATTTTCAGAATTTCTGTTATAAAATACCTCTAGATCATATTGTAAGTCTGTATAAAAACAATATCCAGCCATAAGGTCATATCTTCCAACATGCATGCATCGACCGACTCTATTCAGCCGCAACTAATTAATTATGTATCTGTTTTTCTATTGCATATTAATTTGTCCAGTATTGGACGCAAGACATGTCTTCCATTCTTCTCTGTCTCTTGCTACATCATTCCAAATCAGGCTTGTATTTTTTTTTAGCTCGTCTAACCTTTGCATCATCCTCCGAGTCATCCTTCTGAGAATTGTGACACGTGATCCGTCGGAGGTACGCTATTTCGTTACACTATTTCTCTTCCGACATTACTGATTTTAGGTTAACTTTTAATTTAGTTATTTATATACTTATCATTTAATTTTATATTTAGTTTTTCTCTTTTTATTTTTCCGTTTTCTTTATTTTTCTATCAACATTCACCTTATACAGACATACATATATAGAAGACATATACATGATCTGTTAAACATTAAAACTAAACTTGAGATCAAATATCACATTGTAAGTGAAAACAACACCTCACAGTAAATAATCTGGCAATAAAGTTCCGAGAATGTTGGTATAATATCTTTATTTAGCAATTTTTATAATTTTTCATTTTCACCCTTCAGTATATTCTCCTTACGCATGCCTATCACTCCATACAAACCTTCCCCTATGAGAAGCAGTGCTGTATGTATATCATCTTCCGATAGGCTATTTTTACTTGAATTTACTTCCTCTAATGAGAAGTGGTGGGTTCCTTTCAAGCACGATTTTTATTTCTAGGAACAACTAGACGTGGCACGGTGCTAAATCTGGCAAATAGAGCGGCTGCGTTGTGAGCTGTCGCATTGTCGTGATGAAGGATCCAGGGGTTGTATTTCCACATTTCAGGCGTCCCTTTTAAATTTTTTTCTCGAGTTCTTCGTAAATCCTCTAAATAATAATATTGATTAACTAACTGTCATGACCTTACGGTACCCATTTCATGTGAACTACAGTATATTGAAGAAAACAATAAACATTGTCTTGAATTTGGACTCGCTTTTTTAAATCCGGAGAATTAAAAGTCATCCACTGCGTGGATTACCGCTCGGTTTCTGATTAATATTTAAAAATCCATGTTTTCTCATAAGTTATGACCATTTGTAGTGTCGTCTCCGGAATTAATAAGCCATGGAAAAACGTAAAAGCAACTATGTGCATTTCCTATGGTTATTAATATCGCCATGATCTAACATTGCACAATATTGCACAATATTGCGATGTTAGTCCAAGACGCTCTTTTGGGGCATTGTCTTGAAAAAGACAATGCCTGTATGTTTATTTAAGGTTGTTGAAATAAAACACACTATTCTGAAGCGAAAAAAGTCAACGTCAGAGTCTTAAGGTGTTCGCGGAAAATTGCCGAGTCCTTCAAGTGAGGAGCTCCACGGCTACCCGCTGAGGGTAAAACCACTACTGAAGTGAGATCCGAAAATGTCCCATATTTAAAGTTATTTTAACTTTTATATGAAACCTTTTCATTTCTCAACCAATTAAAATAAAAGTTTCAAAAGGGAAGGACTAGGCAAAGTCGAGGCGCGTGATTGGTGCGCCTGTACGTCAGGCCCCACGTTGGGCGCCATGTCGTCTCCGGAATTAATAAGCCATGGAAAAACGTAAAAGCAACTATGTGTATTTCCTATGGTTATTAATATCGCCTTGATCTAACATTGCGCAATATTGCACAATATTGCGATGTTAGTCCAGGACGCTCTTTTGGGGCATTGTCTTGAAAAAGAGAATGCCTGTATGTTTATTTAAGGTTGTTGAAATAAAACACACTATTCTGACGCGAAAAAAAAATCAAACGTCAGAGTCTTAAGGTGTTTGCGGAAAATTGCCGAGTCCTTCAAGTGAGGATCTCGACGGCTACCCGCTGAGGGTAAAACCACTACTGAAGTGAGATCCGAAAATGTCCCATATTTAAAGTTATTTTAACTTTTATATGAAACCTTTTCATTTCTCAACCAATTAAAATAATTAAAAGTTTCAAAAGGGAAGGACTAGGCAAAGTCGAGGCGCGTGATTGGTGCGCCTGTACGTCAGTAGCTGCTTTTATACTCTCAGTATGCGCCGGAACGGGATGCGTGGTGACAGTCTAAGCGGGCTGCGTTGGGGCGGGGGTCGCTAAAGCAGCGGTCGCCATGTTGCCCGAAGTCGTTTAGCGTCATCGCGCGCGTTTAAGCTGTTAGGCCGTTTTTCGTTTTTTGTTTACCGAAAAAAACCCCGTTACCGCTTGTGCCGGTAAAATTCAAATCAAACGCAATTTTCCTCTGACTTTCAACGTTTACTCGCTTGTTCTGATTGTTTCGTTCGGATATTACTTTAAAATCATGCTAGATTGACAGGGAAAAGCGAAAAAAAAGAAATACAGCGCTAATTTCGTTTATAGACATTTCCTATGTAAATAAACAATTGGATTATTGTTTATAAAAATACAACAATATGTTTTTTCAAGATTAATAAATAGCAACAATTTTTCACTTATCCATCTATGAGATATTCTCCTCCATATTTTCAGCTAGTGGCTAAGTATTGTTATGCTGACATGATTGATTACTTGTATATGTAATATATATTTTTTATAGGTGGAGGGTCCCACGTGCTGCAAATACGTAATCTTCTACTGCGTCCTGTTCGCCGAAAACACCATAGCCAACGTGGTCTGGATCGTCAACGCCGATCAAGAATTGCGACAAAAAGTCTATTATCTGCCTATCATACTCCTGAACGTAATTCCGTTCTTCCTCGGTCTAATTTTCATGTTACTATACTATAAAGTTTTTCATCCAAATCTAAATACAGGATATAAACCACAAAGGACTGCAGTCGTCACTCCCGAAGCTGCTACTAGCTAGTGGTTGTTGTTGGAACATGTAACGGAGACCTCGCCGATATTGGTTGGTAGAGAAAATACCGTTTGATAAATGAAAGACACGAGTATTTTCTCAAAAATGTTGGAATCTTGCTGATGAAGCACAAGCATGTTCCTAGTAGATCGTGTAGGTACATCAACATACTCATTAAAGAACAACTTTGGTTATCTATATATTCACTTTCGTGTGAAATGTATGTTCCATCATTACTGATAGGTACAATACATTTATATCTGATACAATGTGTCTATTTTACGAGAACTAATACAAGATGATGAATGGCAAAGCTGTGGTGCTAACTTTTGTTTTTTGGTAGAATCGCACCGAACGCTCATCAACCAGTGATTTTTGTATGTAATTACTGTTTATAAAACTATTTGGATTTATTATTAAAGTTAGTATAACCATTGCGATTGTACAGAGTGATCAACTTATACTTCGTAGATCCTTATCTTCGTTATCAGATATCAGAAACCCAGTACTTTAATTCTGATAAAAACTATTTAAAAAAATAAAAGATATAGAAAATTTATCAGAAGGAAAATTTAAGAGGTTATACAGCATTTATGATTTTTATCTAAAAGTTTTTCCCTGTATATCCTGATATGGAAGTATAAGTAAGTCACTCTCTGTATAATAACGCATTAGTCTTTCCCGTATTCATTTATATGATACTCTAGCCATTTTTTTGTTAATTTATAATTTACCTTAACCACAGTACGAGGACGGTCAGATAAATACTTAGCATACAAATGGCTACAAAAAATATAAAAAAGTGGCGATTTATTTCTTAACAGTCTCCTTTTAGATCAATACATTTGACCTATCGATACTCCACCTTCTTTAACACGTCCTCCTTGGCGACGTTGTCCTCATTCATCTCAAATGTCTGCCCGGCGAGTGACTTTTTCAAGTTTGGAAACAAAAGTACGTCGCACAGAGCCAAATCTGGAAAAAAGAATAAAATATCTGGTGGAAGCACCATTTTAGTAGAACAGCACTTTTTTCTTCGCCAAATGGTTCCGTTTTTTCTGCAATTCGGCTTCGAATGGGCTCAATAATTCGGCATAGTAGAGCCCTGTGACCGTTTTGCCCTTCTCCAGGTCGTCGATATAGATTACATCTTGTAAACTCCAGAAAACCGTGGCCATCACCTTCCCCGTCGATAGGACAATCTTCGCCATATTCGGAGCACGTTAGCCTGGTGAAGGTTACTGTTTTGACTCTTACTCAGTCTCTGGTGTGAACCAGTGGATCTTTTTCATTAACCGTCACGAAACATCTCAGAAACTCATTCGGGTTGCACTTAAACACTGCTTTGAAGTGGTAGTACTGTTGCACTTTTTCTCCGAAGTAAGCAACGCGGCATCCATCTCGCCGACAGCTTTTTCATCCCCAAAATTTCATGCAGGATATGACTTATGCGATCTTTTGATATGTCTCAGCTAACTCGCGCACTTTCAGTTGGCGCTCTACCAATACAATATCGTAGAATTTTGTTATCCTCCCTGGCTGGCTTCTCATCAAAAACCGACGTGCCACCAGTTGAAGCTCGTTAGACCAATTTTTGACGGTCGCCATCGAATGAAAAGAGTCACCATACACTTCATCCAAGCGTGCTTTGATTTCGCTGCGTGATTTCTCTTCCAAAAACAAGAATCGTGCTTTTAAAACAAACTGCGACTCCGATTAGGGCGAAATTTTGACTACAACTACTACACAATACAGTACATTCAACCAACTTACACCTCTAAATGGTTAATGCAATTCGCAGAAAACTTTCGTTGTAGTAAAAGCTAGGGTAAACTGTACTGGAGTTCTCCATAATCTTTTGAATTACTTTGTTTAGAATATTTTAGCCTGTATTATCAGAGTTAATTTGTATAAAATGAGAATCAAGAATTCAAATGGAGTTTTAAATATTATTTTATTTATATATTAAAAAAATGTAACAAAATATGCAAAACTATGAACAACAGCTTTGTGACACATATTATTTATTTGATGCCTAAAATTTAGTAAAGTGTTAAACATTATGGAGAACACCCGTACCGTTTACCGTGCCTTTTACTACAAGGAAAGGTTTGGTGCGAATTCCGTTAATCGTTTACAGGTGTAAGTTGGTCGAATGTACTGTAGTAAATCTCTTGCGATAGTGGCACCATCGGGCGGTAAGGCTAAGTACTTATCGGACCGCCGTCGTACATATTAGATAGAACAACTTGAGTATAAAGTATATAAAGGGCTTCATTCTAGTGGAAACGCGGGTTAAAGTATTTTAAACTTTGCATAACTAGATACAACTTGCGCAAATTGATGATGATGAAATTTTGCATAGAATAACATCAAAAGATATTTTGAAAGTGAATGTATAGATGATCATAATAATGAGCATGAAATGACAGCTATTACTCAATATTAGGTACAAGATTCTACTGATGTTATTTTTATAATTAGTCTAAAAGAAATAATCCGTGATGTTATGTTATTTATTATGTCCCCATCTTATATGATCTAAATAACATCGGCGGAAAGTTAAAAAGTAATTTAGTAATTGTAATATGTAAGCTTTGGAGTGATATTCTTCGTTTTGGTCATCGATACTACAGAAATTTGATTATTTTCTCTAAATATGTAATTTAACAAAAATATTCACCGGACCATTAACATAATTCTGGAAGTATTCAAAACACTGGATTTCTTAAAAAAATTGAAAAACATTTCTCTCTCTCTCTCCCTTGTCATTTTATTGGTTTCGCAGGCATTGGCATCCCTTCTTCACTTCAGCTTCTGACTGAACCCTGAACAAATGTAATAATGCATTTAAATAAGTGGCTGTATCTGATAAATTAATGATTTTACAAACAAATATGTACTAAAAGACAAAAAAGCTGTAAAATAGGTATTTCATTCTATTGCCGTTCCGTTTTTATTTTATCTATCCAATATGATCCTACAAAAAAGTTAGCGGAGGAATGTTTGGAAACCCCCTAAAATGTAGAAAAGTGGAGAAACAATTTTTTGAAATTTTCCAAAATTTTCAACCATCTCTTACTGTCTTTACTAGTCTATTTGTTGTCATTCGGTTTATACGATTGTTCAATTCTACTCTTCTATTTCTTACTCACTCCTTGATGTTCTCCACCTTGTACCACGTCGTATATCTGTAGTTCTAGTACCACTAATTCTTCTATATTTCTTCTATATATTTCTTTAAGTATTCTTTAAAGTAAGTTTCTTTAAGTATTCTTCCCATACTTTCTTTTTATCTTCTTTGGTTCTGGCAAGATTGCCTTCGTCAACTGTTATTTTTCCGCTGTTACGTTTTCGGAACTTTCCAGCTATTTCCTTCATCTTTCGATGGACTGAAGTTATCATATCCACTCTGGTACTCCTCTATTTCTTGACATTGTTCTGTTTTTTGTTTCTCTTTAGCTTCTCTTATCTGACGTTATTTTTGTAGATTTATTTTGTTTTTTTTTTCTCTGATCCATAAGTTCAAGTATTTCATCGGCCATACATGATTTCCGTTTCTCTTTATCTTTGTTCAGGTGTCGTTCTTTTGTTTCTCACACTGTTTCTTGTATGATGGTAAGACTTTCCTCTATAGCTCCTGCATTTTAGTACCGTTTTATTGAGGTTTTCACTCATCTTCAGTTGAACATTGGGATCTTTCAGTTTTCTAACATTATACTACTTCATCGACTTACTTGCAAACTTCTTCATTCTGACTTTGAAACTACCTACAACTGGAACATTATTAGAATTTGTGTCTGCCACCGGATATGTTTTGACACATGTACAGCTGTTCCTATACCTCTTATTTACCAGCATGTAATCAATCTGATTTCTTATAATCCTTCCCACAGAATCCTGTGGAGATTTCCAGGTGTACAATTTCCTTGGGTGTAGCTTAAACCAGGTGTTCATTATTACCAATTGATTTGCTTCTGCAAAAATCTCCATTGTATCTCTCCGATCGTTCCGGTTTCTTAGTCCAAATGGTTCAACTGCAAATCATGTTTTGCTAGCCCCAACTTTGGTCACCCATGACAATTGTTAGGTCTTGCCTTTTCAACCTTTATCTTCCCATGTTTCCTTCTAAATGTGTTTCGTTTTTATTAGTTCGTTCATCTCCCCAATACATCATTGTAAATGTATATGATATTTTGGGCAAAGAGAGTATATGTTAAAGTACATGATAATCTTTTATTTGTTATTTTACGGCTATATTGAATTTCTATTGCATTAAAATGATACATAATATTACATTATTCAGAACACAATTTTGAATTTGCCGCCAAATAATATTGGTTTACACCTCAAGCACAAGCGACGCTAGAACATTTGGAGTTGGTGTGATACTAACAAATATGACAAGAAGTCCTATCCAATAAGGCGGAACCGAGCCCGTCTACTTACTAGAGGCTAATTGCCAATTTGCATTCCATCTTCTCACTGGACGACTGGATGACATTTTTGGTACCAGTTATTGAGGTTAGTTACAAATAAACCTAAAAGATACTACTACAAAGAAAAAGGTACACAGATATTATAATTTTGAGTTTGGGGAACCTGATACAAAATTCAAAATTAATTTAATCAGGCAAGAGGTAGGTGCAACAGTCAGAAAGGATTTTGACAGAAGAGGACTGATGTGACAATGAGCCACAGTAAGATCAAGACTTAGGTATCAAGACAACCTAGAGGATGATTTAAAATCTATTGGAATTAGAACATGTAGAAGAGTTGGCAGACGCAAGGGTGAATGGAGGATTATTCTGATGAAAAATGTGATGCCACTGATGATGATAATGATCCTGATAATGCCTTGTCACAAACTATCTACAAATGTCCCAAAAGTCCCCAAATCTGCCAAAGATTGTAATATTTTAAAATATTCTAATTTCACTCTGCCCTTATTGATTGCCTTTCACAACTTCTTGCCTTTATTTCTTCTACGATTTCAGATTGGCTCCTGCCCCAAACTTCCTCTGCCTCCTTTATGTTTGAGAAGACAAACCTTCTTTTTAGTTTTAGCTAGAGTTTATCAACTTGTTCCTGTAAGATAAGAATTTTGTGTAACATTGTCAAATGTCTTTAGACAAAGTCAAAGAAATTTTAAAATAGTGCATTAGAATAAAATATTTGTACCTGCTTCTGCAATTTTCTCCACTTCAATATTAGCGGCTGACACAGTTCAACTGGATCAAAACTGTAATCAAAATAAACAGTTAGTCTTTATCCTTCTACAAATAATTTTTGGTAGTACATACTTTGGTTGGTACTCTTCAACCTAACTTCCCTCTACTTTGGAGATTCATTATAGATTGTAGTGGGAAATACCATGTATCTAAATAAAAAACATATAAAGTAACTCAGCTTTCTAGTAAAATAATCTCTTACCAATTGGGGTAGCTTTAGAATACAAAGATTGCAATGGGCCGGACATGTGATACGAATGGGAGAGGATAGGCTACCAAAACGAGCACTGAACGCCAGAATGCAGGGAAAGAGACCAGTTGGAAAGCCAAGAAAGCGCTGGGAAGACACAGTAAGCAGCGACGCACAAGCACTTTTAGGAGTCCGTGTATGGAGAAGAGCAGCCACAGACAGACAAGGGTGGAGGCAAAAAATAAAGGAGGCCAAGGCTCATTTTGGGCTGTAGTGCCGTAGAAGAAGAAGAATTGGGGTAGCTGTTGACGAAGATGGCCCTTGTATTGGTCAATTAAATGCATCTAAAAAAAATAAGTAACAACTTCTCTTTTTAATTATTAAAAAAAAAAAAAAATAGAGACAATGCAGCTTGATCGTAGCGATTGCTTATTAGACAACGTGGGGAACCTTATCTTATATCCTAAAATTAACAATGTTATGAGCTCAAAACTCATGTCATTCAACCCATGAGTACCATCAATACACATCTCATCAGACCAATATTTATTCAACACTTCAGCCCGATTGATGTAACGCAACGTAAACACTAGTGGCATTTTTCCTTATTGGATCAAACCAAGTTTTTGAAATTAACATTTTTAATTTGGTACTTTTATTGATCTGTACGTTTTATACCTATTATAAACAACAGAACGATGATGTATGTCTCAACAATTTATTGTATTCTCATCATGCAGAATCTAAGCGCCGACCTGCAATTTCTGTAAATCAAGGAAATACAATATACAATCATTTTTCATATATTTTTTCCTAAACAATTTAAACATAATTATAGTTTATTCGTCTTCCGGGTTTGGACCGTGTCATTTGTGAGTGACCCAAAAGTGGGTTCATCTCGACGTTTCGCTACAATTATATGTAGCTTCTTCAGGAGAAACAAAGAAAAAGAAAAAAGAAAACAAAAGAACAGGAAGATGGGTAGTTAGCAACGGTAACTCAGTTACTCAACGCAACCAGAGGCGAATACTAACTACCAAGATGGGCATTTGGTCACAGTAACTCAACTACTCAACGCAGCCAGAGGTGAAAACCAAATGCCAGGACAGGGATTCACGTCCAACAGCTCAAAACACTAACGCGTCGAGAGGCGGGGAGTGAATCCGACGATTACTCCGCTACCGCTCTATTTATAGTCGCGGTGCCTGTCGTGTCGGGACGTATCGGCACACTTCGTGGCGCGAACGTCAAGAAGCGCGCGCTGGCCAATCATGTGGTGGCGGGACCGGATGGTGGCTCTAGACTGAGATTCCAGATGGGAGACAAGTAGTATCCTTCCTCTCGATTGATATTATGGGGATTTTTTCGGATCTCTAGAGATTCGCGGATTTTCCTGGAATAAAAGAAGGGGCTCTTAGAAATAATATGGGTTTTTTCGAACAATATGGAACAATATGGAACAATATTATTTCTAAGAGCCCCTTCTTTTATTCCAGGAAAATCCGCGAATCTCTAGAGATCCGAAAAAATCCCCATAATATCAATCGAGAGGAAGGATACTACTTGTCTCCCATCTGGAATCTCAGTCTAGAGCCACCATCCGGTCCCGCCACCACATGATTGGCCAGCGCGCGCTTCTTGACGTTCGCGCCACGAAGTGTGCCGATACGTCCCGACACGACAGGCACCGCGACTATAAATAGAGCGGTAGCGGAGTAATCGTCGGATTCACTCCCCGCCTCTCGACGCGTTAGTGTTTTGAGCTGTTGGACGTGAATCCCTGTCCTGGCATTTGGTTTTCACCTCTGGCTGCGTTGAGTAGTTGAGTTACTGTGACCAAATGCCCATCTTGGTAGTTAGTATTCGCCTCTGGTTGCGTTGAGTAACTGAGTTACCGTTGCTAACTACCCATCTTCCTGTTCTTTTGTTTTCTTTTTTCTTTTTCTTTGTTTCTCCTGAAGAAGCTACATATAATTGTAGCGAAACGTCGAGATGAACCCACTTTTGGGTCACTCACAAATGACACGGTCCAAACCCGGAAGACGAATAAACTATAATTCTGACTCTGGCCGTGGAAGCCTACGATTTCATTTAATTTAAACATAACTTCAATAGGTCACGTGACAAAATCGTCGAATGAGTAGAACATACTGATTACCTAACCTCACTAACTGGTGTCAAAAATGTCATCCAGTCGTCCAATGAGAAGATGGAATGCAAGTTGGCAATTAGCCTCTCGTCGCCTACTTCACCGTATGTCATATCCCCTCTCTTCCATATCGCTGTTCTGATCGTTTTGCCGGTCGCAGAATTTTCACGCTATTTCGTGCACTTCGTTATAATAACGATGTTTGGTGTGTACAATCCCAATATAATATCTTACCGAAATCATGACGTAAATGCAGAATATTGTCTCAATGCTTATGTTTATATATTTATTTAAATTTGAGTTGTCAAATATTTGGTAATCTCATGAAAAGCTTGTATGTGATATTATTTATTTTTAAATCTTAAAAACGAATGATTTACAAATTGATAAACTTATAATGATTTTTATAATAAAAAATTAATGTACTAATGAATGCTTAGAAACATTTAATTTAATTTGTATTTACTTTTCGCTGAAAAATAGAGAAAATTGGTTTTTATGCATGTATACATATTTGGTTATATAAACAAAAATATTGTGTATAAACTTCTGAACAATATTAGTGCACCATTAATGAAAACAAAACTAACTACAGCCAGCTGCAGCTCTTATACTTTCGTTAAACTTCACTACGAAGCTCTGTGCTTTCGAAAAGTAGCAGAAGCTTCTTACGAGAATTTTCAAAGTATTTCTCCTGGCGCAATCTTTGTTTTACCGAATTATAAACACCCCATGTCAGCAAGTATTCTTGTAAATGTCAAGTAATTTTATTCAAGCTCTTTAAAATAGTGGAAAGATTCGTCTATATCATCATTAGCTGGATAATCCTTTATAACTCTTGGCTTATTCCTGGATTATAAAATATTGACGCTAACAAAAAAGAAGCAATATAACTCAAACTCATGTTGGGACTAATCGTTACACATTGGTGCCCAACGTGGGGCTCGATCCGACGATCCTGAGATTAAGAGTCTCGTGCTCTACATACTGAGCTTGCCGGCCCGCATGTTGGGCGCCAATTCTAAAAATATAACCCCAACTGACGTTGGAAGCCAATTTTTTTGGACTTTTGCTAGCTCTAGCCTCTTAAGTGTAGGCACGTTATATCTTAAATGCACATCTGAATAAAGAAAAAGGTTTTTAGTTGTTAGACGGTTAATGGAACAGAAAGTTAAAAAAATGAATAAAATTAACAGAAATTAGAGTAAAATACTTATTTGAAGAAAAATAGCAAATGTGTGACGTTTATAACGTTAGAAAATAAATAAATTGTCATGTGGGAAGGTAAAATCCTTCGAGTAATGTAGGACCCTTGCAGAGATAACGTAACAAACGAATGGATAAGCAGCACAACATCAAATTAGAGTCTCTCTTCGGAAAGGAAAATTTAGTGAGGTATATAAATGCCAAGATGGGTAGAAGATGTGATAGGAAGTATTCCCGAACAGTTTCTACAAGACCAGTTGGAAGAAAAATATCTGTACGGCTTAGAAAAAGGTGGAAATGGGATAGAAACGGCTTAGAAAAAAGTGGAAAGATCTTTCCAGAGAGGATCTGGATAAAATGGGATTGAAGTTCCCATAAAATATTTTAGTGATGGAGGGATGTATTTTAAAAAATGTTAATGGTGCACTAATATTGGTCCATGAATTTATTTAATTATATTTTAACATTTATTAGTCAACTTATATGAAATAGTGTCACATTAAACCAGTAAGTCGCGATAATACTGTTGTCGTGATTCGCTTATGAAGATATAAAAAAAATATATTTATTTGTATTTTTTGTTTAAAGATTTGCTATTTTGGGTTTTATTTTACAAACCGATGCAACTAGGTAAATTTTAGATCAATTTTGTAAACTAACATGATTGATATTGTTTTTTTTCTTTAGT